TATATATATATATATATATTGATTTTGTTACATGTAGCTGCTTTGAAAAGTATTTAGTAGTTTGGTTGTAGCCTTGCTGTAGAGATCAATGCCAAGGCTCTGACATTCATGCTAATGTATATTTGAAATGGAATTGCAAAACTATAAGAGACAGGAAAAGCCTAAATGAGGGCAGACAGACGAGCACACCTTTTATGCCTAAGGCAAAAAATGGTGCGTTGTGTGTCGCTGAGTTTGTGTAAGGTAGAGGGAGACTGATCCGTTCTTGAGGCAGGCGCTTGCAGGCCTGACAGCAATAGAGACGGAGGCCGATAGAGGAGAGCTGACAGCATGTGATGGCTCTGGATTGAAGCTGGGTGTGTGTGTTGGTGTGTGTGTAGGAAGAAGAAAGAAGTAAAGCTGGCAGGTATTACATGTCTCATGACAGTAATTGCTTGCTTGTGAATCTTGGCTTTACTATCTCCATATTAAAATGCCACTGAAACTTTTTTAATACAAGTGTCAATAGCAAAGCTTATCTGCACAGCCATGCTCGCTCTGAACCAACATGACGGATGTGACTGTGCTGATCCTGCGTGAGGCAGTGTTTTGCCATGGATGCATAGCTAAGACGAGGCCTGACTGCGTATCCACGGAGATGTGTTTCCGTGTTACCTGTGATGATGGCAGGCACGCCCCAGCCGATGGCATAATAGAACCTCATGGCTCCATAGTTGATGTTGCGCTGCTCGGTCTGCATTCGGTAGATATGAAGACCCTCTACGAACATCCAAGCAAATGTAGACATGAAGAAGTAATGCAGGAGGATGGCGACAACGGTGCACAAGAACTGGAAGGAACAGAGAGAGAGAAAGAAATTAAAAACTTGGGGAAAGAAAGAAGAATTTAATATGACGGGATGCACATGGATGTGCAAAAAGAAGGATAGAAATAACAGCAAAGAGAAAATAAAATAAAAGGAGAGCAGTTAAAGCTCCATTTCTTTACTGTAAAGTGGTGCAATTTTTTGTGAATTGCAATCACCTCTAGCATAACTTAGAATACAAATCACACAAACAAATAAAAACCTCACAATAAACTCTTAAAGTGAAGAAATGTTTCTTGAGGACGTTCTGCTGAATTTACATATAAATAATGCAGAAAACAAGCATTTAAACTGTTAGAAATTACTGTCGTACTGCATGGAAAAATGTTGGAACTCATTTATTTAAACTCTTTTTTTTTGTCTGTCTTGTTTGTTTGGAGAGATAAAGCTGTCCTGCTCAGAATCACAGCACTGAAAAAGGCATTAATCCTCTGAGGGGACCGTGGTGCTAAAACCAGGAAGATAACCAAAACAACAGTGCTCAATTTAGGTATTTTTAAACATGGAGACTCTAAGGAAAAAAAAGAAAAACAAATAAACTTTTTATTTGAAGCCTTGCATGTACACTTAAAAATATAATTGCTGCAACTTTAAATCTTAAGCAGTAAATCCTGCTTTGGATTAGGATCTACTTTGACTTCCTCGTTCTGCCAAAATCCTGAGGGTCGACTAAATGCTCTGTTTAATAAACTGGTCTCATCTGAGCCATTTCAACTTTTGACCAATTAGTGTTTCCTAAGATTAGACACAGTTTTAAACACTGACTGTTTCCATTTTTTATTTTTTTTTTTTGTCATACCATCCCAGTGAAAGTCTTTTTAAGAAGAGGACAGAAATTCCCTCTGGTGTATAAAACACATCCCCATGTAGCGTCGCTTCCCTGCTGCTCCTCCATGCCTGTAAGCTGGCCAAAAGAGAGTTCTTATACTTTTCTCTGATTTACAAAAAGGATTGATTTGACTGTTAAAAATATTCTTCAATTTGCAGAAAACATTGAGAGTTATGGAGGAAAACCTAAAGAAGCAGTGATGCTGTCTTGCCTTAAGTATAATAAGGTATATTCTTTATATGTATAGAATAATCTGGTTAGAAGAGGGCTACCTCAACAGATAGCCTGACCAAGCAGTTCATATCAATTACTATCAAAATTAAAATGAGAAAGGCTAAATTGGATAGTTATGCACAAAGTGTTTTTAAGAAGAAAACTTTAGCCCATATTCTACATTTTTGCAAAAGTGTATTAGAGTTAGAAAAACAAAAAAAAAAAACATAAAATTTCCAAGATATTAAGAACATTACTATAATGTGTGTGTTTTGATCCAATTCCAGTTATCGGATAAGAAAATTATTTTTAGAGGAGTTCTGAGACATTCTTCAAATTTTTAAAAATCAGTGCCTATTTTTGTGCGCTCTGTTCAAAAATGTTTTATAATAGGCAGCGCACGCTATATTGTTGGACAAACATAGGTTTTTATAACATTTTTCTAATTTGCCCAGTAAAAGAGACTGTAAGTGCCCAAAGCGTTTAAAAAAATCGGATGTGATGTGGCGATTTTCTCATCATGAAATGTTTTTAATATGAATAGGCTGGATAATTTTTAATCTGTAGACGAAATGAGTATAAACAATTGAAGATTGGATTTATAAAATGGCTTCTGGATGCCATCAAAGGTACGTTGTCGTAACTCTTTTTAATATTTACATTTTCACATGCTGCTATATCTGCATTAATTGTGCTTTGGTGCTCACTGTGGCCATAAAATGAAGTTGGTAGTTGAATTGTGGATTCTTACGATTTCTAACCTGTTCATTTTGGTAAAAATTTTATGCTTGTAATTTTCATGTGTTCTGATGTTAGGTGAAAACGGATAAAAAGGTTGCCAGAAACTCGATAGGTTTTTTTTTACACAAATGTATTGAAAATGATAATTTAATCCCATCTATGAAACAAGGGTTAATGATCATAACCCTGTCCTAGAAAGAAACCAACATAGCACACATGTTACTTTTCTGCAGGAGAGGAGAGTGGAACCAGAGGGAGAATGACACTCACTGAATGACTGGGCTCAACTCTGCCGAGACATCGCTCTCTTCTGACTTTATTATTGGACTTCAAAGAATTGTCAGGAGGGGTCACAAGTTTACAACATACAGTACAAAGAGTTGTGCAGTTTTATTGCGAGTGGTGATCTGTAACCTACAACCACACAGCTGGATAAGGCACGAAATTTCACTATCTGGGAGAACCATTTGTTCTCCCAGTTTGAAGTTGAAACAACCCAACGTTCCTGCAAGCCAACTCTTGATACAGGCCAAATGCCTGTAACTCAATACATTAAAATTATGATATTTACATTTTTCTAACAATATTATTACCCGAACTAGCAAAAGATATAAGATATATCGATCATCCAAGGTGATTACCTTAATTGAGGGTAGATGACAAATTATTCACCTTGATCTTCTCAAATTGACTGAAAACTGATTTGTGATAGATTATCCATGACAAACCAATCAGGATTCAGAAATAAATTTGAAAGAGAGACTTTAGCATCCCTCAGATTTGACTGGATTTAACTGTGTGCTTCTAAACCTTTCTAGCCTCCTATAGCTGAGCCTTATATATGTTTGGGTTAAAGAAAGCAGAATGGAAAAATCCGACATTTTAAAGCAAGAGAAGCCAAGTGCAAATTCTTACTGAAAGCCAAGGATGACGTAAAAAGAAAAAAAATAGAGAGCAAAGTTGGCTGCAATACAGCCAGACGATGAATTTCACACTCCCACACACAAACGACTCCCCCTCCCCCAAAGAAACACAGAAATATGCACAAACTCATAAAAATGAATACACAGGACAGCTGCGAGCACTGACACGCTTTCCAGAGCGTAATGTTCATGAGTTAGAGAACATATTTTTCAGCTAGGAGGTACCACTCGCTCTGTAAGAAGCTTACAGTCCACAGTGTGGTGGGATACAGCTTAATTAATTGGATTTCACGCTGAGCGAGCACATATTTGAACTTCCCTCTCTGCAAGATTCACTGCTCTTAGAACACACTCCAACACGGGAACACGTGTTACGTAACAGACAGAGACGCAGGGGTTAGGAGAAACAAAAGGGAAAAAGAAACAAAGAAGAAAAAAATATATAGGAAGTCAGGGAGAACACGTACAGAAACAAACATGATTCAACTCATAACAGATTAGGATCAAACATTAAATGAGACTGAAAGAGATTAGCAATAATCAGTTTAGATAAAAATTTGGATAAAAAGACAGAAATTAAAGCTTTGTCTGTTTATATAAGTATATATTTCTATACATTATATACTATCAATCATATATAATTAGTATGGAATTGTAGTGTAAATGTAAATTTCTCCAACATGACGGTTGAGTAACAAAAGAAGTTGTTGGACATCATTGGAAAATAAGGTTAAAAACGAAACCAAAGTCATCATCACCTGTTGTTCGGTCTGATTGACCCCGAGCAGGTACACCAGCTCTGACAAAAACATGGCCGCCGCTATGTTCGAGTGGATGCTCCTAGTGTTGGACTTTAGGCCACGGAGGCAAGACAGCGCCAGGACAGTGAGGAGAAGGGCCAGCATGGAGACGCACAAGGAGGAGTAAGTCACCAGCGCCAGAGTCTCCAGATCCCCCTCTAACTGCTGCTCAAACACAGTGGAAAAGACAGAAACATAAAGTGAAATAGGAGAAGAAAAAATAAATAATCATATACATAGTTTCATCTGACTTGCAGATATCTCTCTCTATAAATTGTGGTTTTTGTGTCATTTGAACACCAGCTAAGCCAGAGTGGGAGATTTTTAGAGACATAAAAAACATCTTTGACCCTGTTTAGGCCTTTGGACAGGCATTGTCCTATAGGACTCTGTGTGGACTTCATGGTTTCATTCTGAAGCAGCAAATGAGCCCCATACCATCACACTTCCACCTCTGGGTTGTTTTGGTATGTTTGTTTATTTTTTATTTTTTTTTATTCTGAAATGCTGTTAGTTTAACTCTATATAGACCAGAATGTACACCTCACAAAAAATCTTTAAAAAAAAGTTATTCTTGAAAGAAAAAAGACACTTTCAGTGAAATGTGATGGAGAGTTTTCTGTTATTTTCAGTCAGCAGAAGCTTTTATCTTGGAATCACCAATGCATGTCGTTTTCACTTCAACTAAGGCAAGGGTAGCCTGAAGTGCTTTAGATTGTTCTGCATTGTTGCGGGACCTCCGGGATGAGCTGTCTGTGTAATGTGGGAGTAATTCTGGAAGGGTTACCACAGTTCTGTGCCTTCATCCGTTTGTATCTCTCAGTGAAATTAAGGAGCCCAAAGCCTTTCTCAAAGGTGCATAGCCCTGTATCTTCTATTCTATTTAACTGATTTCTTGATTCCCCCTGTCTGGCATTGGAATCACTTAAATACTCTGTGAAATTACACTTGGATATAAGAAAATAAAGTTTATTAAAAGTAAATTCTTAATTTATCGAGAATGTCTTTTTTCAGTTAAACAATTGAATAGCAATTTCAAAACACACTAAAGCTATGATTGATTTTATAGAAAGGCTTGACATGATGCCTTGTGTCTTTGCACTGAATACAAACTTTTTCCTCCTAATTTTTTTTAATGAGCTGAAACATTTAAAGATGTGATAAAAAGCAAAAAGAAGATAAATATGACAGTAAGGAGCAAAAACATTTTTCACAGCTCTCTAAAGCCTCTTTCCAACTGAAGATACCACACTAACGCGTTACTTTAAACACAGATTGACCCGCTTACACTCAACATTTGACTCCCCTCCCACTGGCAAAAAAACAACCCTTGGCTGGCAGCTGCATGGTCTCTATCCCCCCATGGCTGCTTGTCTGGTGAGACCTTCATGCTGGTTTAATGATGTTACCAGTGCGACAGAAACCAGGAAAGTCGAGAATCGAGAGCAACATGTAAGAAAGCCAGAGTGAAGCAAGTGTGCTTTTTTTGCTCTATTATCTGTCCCAATCCCTCTCAACAGTTCTGCTCCAAGTTTATTTAATGTAAAGAGAGTTGTTTCGGCTTGTTAGATCAAAAGCGTCTGGCGTGGTTTGTTCATATCCGTACGTTGTGCTCAGTGGTATCACGTAATTTAGAGGGTCAACCCGGGTCTGGTGTTACAATAGCGTGCCGATCAGAGCCGAGGCGATTTTAATGTGGGTCGCTTGCCAAGTCGCTTGACCCGAGTAGACACGCATCAGTGAGATGTAGCCACTGCCACTAAAAGCCAATTGTTCCCGGGTGTAACCTGGTTTTTCAGCCAGTAGGAAAGAGGTATTATTTCTTATTTAGTAGCAAACTATACACTGACACGCTCCACCCCACTGCACATGTAGTCTACTTTACAAAGCTATTCATGTCTTAATATGTCACAAAATCCCCATCATTTCTTCACATAAACAAGCATTCTATTTTCTTAAAAAGGTTTCCCTGAATTTCTTAATATCGATTATGTAATGTCAATTATGTAATTGACAGTGATTAATAGTTAAATTAGTTCATTTAGTGGTTCCTGTAATTACAAACATTTCTTAGAAGATTGTATTAAAGCTGGTAGTTAGAGAATAAAAGGACTATAGACTCAACTATAAGACTAATAAGTGTGTCATGGTGAACCCAGAGATAAAGTCTGCAGTCAACTGCTTGCTAGTTTACAGAAATTACAAAATGAGATATAATTTTAAACACGACACAGTGTTCATTTTTACCTCAGATTAATACAGTTGACAAAAACCTTAATAATAAAAAGTTTAATTTCAAGTTGGAGAAAGTTAGCCACGAGATTCCAACAGCCTGCTGTCTAACTATCCAAATCACTGGGGTGGTAAAAAGCTCAATGTTTTGCCTTAAGCTTCAGAAATCTCCCTAAGATTTGCCCTGTGATCATCATTCTGCTTTTTTCCTCGGAGTATCATATCAAGAAATGACCCAGTAAGATGTTCAGATGAAAAGTAAATAGAAAATCAGGCACAGTTTTACTTAAACATTAATCTAAATGAAGTTTACTGCATGCCATATCATGAAAGAACTTATCATACAAATGAGCATTAAGACATAATTTGATTTTAATATGTAAAGGTGTCTCACCTCTCTATGGGAGCTGTCCATCAGCACCCCGAAGGTGCCCAGTCTCTGGCACTGACAGCGGACATGAGAAGTATTCCTGTACACCACTATACAGTCCCTCACTGTCCAGCAGCCGCCGCTCTCATGTCTGCAAAAAGACAAGTTCAAATTTGCAACAAGAGTTCTTAAAAAACACATGGATGATCTCCTTATAATACTAGATGGATATTTTTAGAATGTCCAAGGAAATTATGGAGAGCACTGAAGCCCAGCTTTCGATCCACTGAAAATGAAGTATTCTCTAATATACTCTTTATAATACTCAGCTATCATTATTTTACATTTACACGAATCTCAGCCATGACCGGTCTGCAGTGGTTAAACTTTGCTAGCTTCTTTAAACAGTCTGGAAAACCATGCTAATATATTGCCCGAATCATAGGGGGGTGCATGGTGGAGCAGCTGGTATCACTGCTGCTTTGCATTAGGATGGTCCAGAGTTCAAATCCCAACCTGGGGTCTTTCTGCTTTGTGTTCTATTTAATGCATGGGTTTTCTCAGGGTACCCCAGATTCCTTCCACAAAATATCACTGCTTAGTCTATTAATTGCTTTAAGCTAGATTTTGTGTTTACATGCACATTTTCTTTTTTTCTTTTTTCTGTGATGGACTGGTGACCTGTCCACTATGGATATAAATATAAAAAAAGGTCAGGGTTTGGATACCTCACTGTTAAATGCTCTATCTGTCTTCTTATACAGTCTTGGGCATTTTCAGGGTCAAATTGTTATCACTATAGCCATCCATAGTTCTGTTTTGGCGTAATGGCCTTACACTAAATGTAAAAGGAGAATTCTGGAGGTTTGATTGGACCTTAATGCTGTCAAATGTGTCCAATCCAAAGTGAGAGTTTGTTAGGCAAAATACCCTCTACACCAAATCTCCTGTAATCCAGAATCAATCGTCATTGCTTGAATCAAATTTTTAGTTTAATAAGAAAATTATTATAAATCCTATCTTGAAAAAGCATATTATCTTCAATATCAGTGATTCCTATAATTTGGTGAAAGCACCACTGATTTACTTAATTGTAATATTTGTAACCTTTATTTATGTAACTTTTTAAATTAATTTTTTATCATATAGTGTGCATTATAACAAACAACAGAAATAGGGAGGTGATACAGTTTGAGAAAGGAAAAGCAGAAAATATGCATAAACACAAACATGGAAGTAGCATAGATTGATCATTATCTTGTCGTTAAGAAAATAAGTGAAGAATGAAGTATGATCACACCTAAAGTAGTTGGATAAATAAAGTATGAGAATACTATATTTTTGTCTTTAACATAAGTCATATTATGATACAAGCTCTCATTAGTACGCAATACTTCAAATCAGTGTGTAACAAATGGACTATATTGCATTATTTATAAATTTCTTTAGGTGCCTTTAGTATGGAAAATCTGCCCCAAAAAAGTTCAACAGAGAATGTTAAGGTGGTAAAATGCAGATGCAATGACAAAGACAGTCCTATGAGCTCACTAATGCATTAATTTGCTATCCAGTCCCAACATGGAAATCATTCATGCATGTGTTGATCAGCACTCACGGACTGCTGTGGTTCCACTGCACACAAAGAGGCTTGCTGCGATTGGCCGTCTCCAGCAGTTTAAACTCCAGGAGTATGGGCTGGTCCAAGTGACCGCCGACAAACGTCTGGTTGTTGTAGACAGAGATGGTGACCACCGGGGAGTTCATAACCGGGTGTCTGGGAAGCCTGAGAGAAAGAACGGCATTTTCCACTAGTTTATTAAACTGACAAATTAATGTTTTATTTTATGTGGCAAACAAGTAAGGAAGCAGGATTTGCATTTAAGATTTTCATTGATGCAAACTGGAGGGCTCGATTCTATGTAATTAGGCCCAGAGGAGAGGTGAGAGACGGCAGACGGGAGAGAAAAGATGGCATTAGAAGACTGGAAAAAAAGAACAGATGTCAAGTACGGCAATACTGTAATTAGTGCGAAAGCAGTTTCTCCAGCAACCTCTAAGCCAGTTGACTCATATGTCCATTGGTTAACATTCCCGTCATTTATTAGGAAAGCATTCAAAAAGTCTACAGTTATTTTTCTCTAAATCAGAAATTTGCTTGATTTTCATTGAATCATGTTATTAAAGGTGGGGAGATTAACAAAGGATCCTTTTAAATAAACCAATGAAAGACAAAAAAATGAGATAGTTGGAGCCGTTGTCATTTCTCACACAGTAAATGATCAAAATGTTATAAAATTGTATCAGTTTTGGAGTGATTGATCCCACCTCACTCCTCTCCGGTCTGCGTGGTACTTTGGAGGCAAAGCAGCCCCAAGGCTGCGATAGATCAGCAAGATGACGATGGTGATGGGTGGGTCAGTCACTAAAGCACTGCGCCTAGCCGCAGTGTATTCCTTCGTTTGATTGGCTGAAATGCTAGCAGGGGCCGAGGCGGCACTCTGAGGGGGCGAGGCTGGAAAATAAAAGCCTGAGTCAGAATTTTTTCCTGCCTTTCGATCTCTGAAATTCTAGTGGTTTCATTTGTCCTTCTTTACTTACGTTCTTTCTCTAAACGTTCTTTGTCCTTCCTGCTGTGTTGCTGTCGTTGTGGCACCAGGGCAGCAGGTGGTAGTATCACGTGTGTGTAAGGGTCCCATACAGCTTGACCGCGGAACAAGGTGTTGTGATAACGTGGGAAGCGCCGCCGGACATGGGTGTGGTTTTCCACGCGGTCCAGGTTCATAACTGAGGGACCGACAAATGAAACTGAATATTCTGACAGTTTTGGTTTTATATAGGACTGAGGCAGGGCATGAAGTATCAGGTAAACTAAAAACATATTTCTACTGTATGCATGATGGATTTACTTCCTCAACTGTCACTGACAGCTGTAAACAGAGACTGAACTATGAACATCGGTTACGGTCAATATAAAGGATTGGCTTCAGGTTACAGTATTTGAGCTGACATTATCACATTATAATACTGAAAAACATAACAAATGCTATGCAGTCTTCCTCTACAACAACACATCTTGATACAAACTGCTTTTTATTTATATTACCCCCCTGATCAGTTTTTAGTAGTAAAAACAGTTGTAGAAACAGGTCTATAGCTTTTTTTTTTCTCCAGCTTCTTCTTTGCCAATTCTTTTTCGTTTCTCATCTGTCTATTTCTCTGAGGCTTTTGTTTATTTTTTCATCTCAGATCTGAATAGAACAATTCAGACTTTTTTGCAGCTCAGCATCTCTTTTTAGCATCTGCAAAGCGTTTGCTTCTCCATCAAAAACTCATAGTTTTCTGTCGGTCTGCATTCTGGAAACGCCCTGCATTTGTATCCTTCGTATATCTCAGGCTATCAAGGACGCATTGGCTGTAAAAAATAAACTGTTATTGGCTATCTGTCAAAAAGAAAATAACCCCAGCAGCTCTGAACAGATCTGACTGATGGAGTATTTCACTATTACGCTCTAACTAAAAATTTAACATATTCATTTCAAGGGATTGTTAAAAAATAAAATAATAAGAAAATGCTTTGTATATCCATCAGCTGGTAAACTGAAGGAATTAAATAAATGCAAACAAAAGAGAAGCTACATTCAGTTCAGATCAATCAACCAAACTGTTCTTTAAACCGGATATTTCAACATGTCAGCAGCTGTTTTTGTGTAAATATTGTTTCTTTGACTAATTCTAAAGGAGAGGTGATTTAATTTCCATCATTGTTCAAAAAATATTAAGTTGGTTGGCCCCTATAGCAAAAAAAAAAAAAAAGAAAGTTAGTAGATGAAATAATGTATGAAGAGATGGATTTCTTTCTCTTTATCTTTTTCCCATGGTATCTATCTCTCTTATTTGCCAGAGGGCAGAAAATGTCTGCATATGTGTGAGTTGGAAAGAGCAATCCAGTATCAGACATGTCTACTGGTCCCTCTCCTGTCACAAGTCATTTTATTTCTATGCCCACCTACTGAATATCTATTTCAGGCTTCACTTTATGATCCTCTGAATTCATTTTGGACGTGTTTTAACTTGACACAAACATTTAATAAAGAGAATAACAATTCAGAAAAAAAAAATAAAAACTGAAAAGAATCAGTGACATATAACTAAGGTGTGTTTTATGAAGGTAAGACTTGAAAAAGTTTGAATTTTTGTGTCTGGCTGCTACCAATAAAAAGCCTCTATAGCTCTGTGGTACAGATTAGTGTTTTTATTCTTAATGTGCATAATTCAATGTCTGGATTTATACTATGAATCTTTAATTGCAAATTGATTTGTCAATTGCTTTCCAGTTTTAAGTGATAATAGATCCTATTAGTGTATGTCTGTAACATGTTTGCATTCATGTCTCGTGTTCCTCAGCGTGCGTGTGCGTTTGGCATCTGTTATTCTGAATGGTGCATTGGCCAGAGCTTCAGCGCCTCAGGGTTTTTGTGCATGTGCTCATAGAATTAGCTGCTATGTTTGTGTGGGAGTGTGAAATTCAGTCGTTTTGTGCGGCTGCCAAAGACTCCGGCTGTGCCATCGTCATTTGCATTAGCGCTCTTCATCTCCCGCTTCACATTGAGTCATTTTGGGTGATTTCACAGCAGAGATTTGAGGAATTATAAGAAAACCAAATCAAATTCTGTTAAGATTGAGATTTCACAACTGACTCATTCATTTTTATTTGTTTTAAGGATGCTGTGTGTGTCTGCCAGTAAGAGTTAACATCTTCTTACCTATGTTGGGTGAGACCAAGGCCACAGGGTTGAGGTAGGTAAGTTTCATGTTCTGGGCCAGGTTCTTGGAGTACTGTTCCAGCAGCTCCGTCAATTCAGCTGGACCACCACCGAGAATGTGATTCTGACTCTGAGCAAGGGCCCGCCAAAGTCCCGATGTACCGGGACCCAACAGCACGCTGCAACCTCTCAGGATGTTCTGGAACCAACAGAGGGATAAACAATATAAAAATGCAGAAATAAATAGAGGGTACAATCAAATACCAGTTGGGTTTTGATTTTGTCCTGCTACAGCCACAAACATTGGTTCATTTTAATTGGTTTTTAGTGTGAGAGACGAAGACATGGTAAAGAAAAATGGTTAAAAATGTAGAAAAAAGTAATATTTGCCCAAAACCTAAACATTTTCAACACCATGCACCTCCTTCTCTGGCTTTAGAATATCTCTACAAGCTTTTCTGTAAAACAGCTCAGGATCAATTAGTCGACAATTTTCAACTCTTGCTGCAGATTCCTCATTGGATTAAGATCTGTACTTTAAATGGGCCAATCAGAGACATAAATACGATTTGATGCTAATCATTTCATTATAGCTCTGACATAAACACATAACCTCACATAAACCATTCACATAAACCTCAATGCTTTGTACAGCTACTGCAGGTTTCTTTGAGGAACATCTTGTATCTTTCACAGACCATATTTCCATCTACTACATCCTCTGACCATGCTGAAGAAAAAAAAAACACACCCTCACTGTTGGAGCAGTGCAGTGCAGTCTTAGTTTTATATTACATTCAGGGCGTAATCTCCCATGATTTTAAACAAGAGGTGCTAAATTGTTCGTGCACATTTTATTTGATCTACAAATTTAGCTGCATAAATGTAAAGAATTGCAAACCGGTTTGGCTAAGCGCCATTAAAATGAGCAGATGGCACGCTCTACAGACAGTATGAGTGGTCATAAAAGTAAGATAAGATTCAAAGCCATTAAGATGGAGGTAGAAATGATAGTTATTGAAAAAACTAAAGCTTATTCTAAATAATTTTTATACTCCCTATATTTATATTCTAAAAGCACAGAGAACAGGTTATGATTAAGAAAATAAAGGGAGAAAAACCTCCCTGTTGCAATAATATGCACACTTCTCCCTGACCCCACTTCCCTCCAACTCGCCTACATCCCTATGTCTCTTTGCAAGCTATATTTAAGTTCAGTCATTGCTTTTAGATTTGGTGTAATTGATTCAGTTGCTGCCATTTAGCTGCATTAATCTCTGCCAGCCTATCGACTATTTTTCCTTCCTTTATTGCTATTTCTGATGGTCCAAGTATGTTTACATGCACCCAGAATCTCTCTCCATCCTCTAACATTATACCAAAGCCTCATTCACTGCCACAATGACCGCAGATATTTTCGCGTGTCAGTTTGTACCTGACTCAGAATTACTAAAAAATATCCAAAGGCTGCTGCAGCATTTGAGTTTCTGATTTTGATATCCCTTTGCACGTGGTAAATGTTTAAATTTGCATATCACCCACCCCTGAATTTGCATGGTTGGGCCATTAGATGCTGATCAGTATATTGATGAAGACAAAAAGCACAAAAAATGGTTTGCACATGTTTTCTGTTGAATTGTNAATGGTTTGCACATGTTTTCTGTTGAATTGTGAATGCAAATCACTTCTTTAAAGATCTGAACTGCATGTCCAAATATCTGTTGTAAGACATTTTAACCTACAAAGGATAAAACACATAGGGTTCTACATGCAGGCCAGAAATTCTGATTCTATCTAACCTTAACAAAAAAAACTTTTCTACAAATAAGAGGGGTCGACAACAAATTGCTTGTTGTCACAGTCTAACCTAATCCCTATTCCACTCCCCTCACAATGGTTATAGCACAAACTATTAAGGGTTCTAAGATCTCTGACCATAAAAAAATATTATTCTGCTTGGAGCTCCTATGAGATCTATTTGGATTCCCTGGTTCTCTGTTTCCTGTCTACCACGCCAAGTTAACTGATGTCATAGTGCACTACTCCCTTTTCCTTTTCTAGCCTCAGCTTAGAGTTTCTGGTGAATCATGTTGCTCACTCTTATTTACATTTTAAATCAATTAATTCTAGATGTAGGAACTTTATCATCTAAACTTAGACAAATTAATAGCCAAACAAGCAGTGAAGTAGAGCTCTAACTAACTATTATTTAGTAAATTGATTAATCTGTTGATTATTTCTAAGATGAATCGATTAATAATCAGATCGCAAAAGGTTCCTTAAAGCCTATTTTTGTAAGGAATTAAACCAGATCAAACTTGATCTTTTCCACCTGAGGAGTTCTGGATAGAGGGCATTGACGGATGAAAAACTTTTTTTTATCATAAAGGCAAAATATTTATATATATTTTTACAATTTTGGTATAGCTACTGCTCTATCAGCTAAAGGCATGTTTTAGTCTCTATACTCAAGTTAACGATTAATCAATTACTATATCAGTTGACGATTATTTCAACAATCTATTAATCTCAATTATTCCAATTAATTATTTCCGGGATTGTTTTAAGTAAATCATCATGTGATATGGCCTGATCTCACCACATTCTGACTTGATAAACTGAACCAACAGATTTTCCCGTTGGACTATTCTAAACTCCTGCAAATTTAATGTT